TGAGGAAGAGAGAGAGTCTTAGAAATATCTCATGGGATTGGACCCTTGCACACTGAAACACACTGGAAGAGAACAACAGAGAAAAGGCCAGGTGAAAAGAAGATGGCAGGGATGTGTCTTATTTTTACACTTTATCCTAGAACTGTAAAAGCAATTCCACCTGGAAAAATCTTGGCATTTCACAGCTGCTGCATCAAGAAGAAAGAAATTGTAGGGAACACATAGAAAATAATAATAAAATGAGATATTGCGTGGCAAAAAAAAAAAAAAAAAAAGACATTATAAAAACAAAACATTTTTCCGGATTTTCTTAGAAATACACAAAGATGGAGAAATAAAAATATAATCAAGCAACTGTGACACAATTAACTTGTTTACTTTCTGCAACAGCTTAAGTATTTCCAAGGCAATCTTCTTTAAACTTTTTTTTTTAAGCAAACTATTTAACACACATTTGAGATGAGCACAGTCTGACTGCTACTCAAAATAGGGATCACAAGTATTTGATTAAGTGAGATTGATGAAATTTTTATCATATTAAAACCTTAAAATGTCTAGAAGGTTATGACTATAGGCTGGGTGCGGTGGCTCACACCTGTAATCCCAGCACTTTGGGAGGCTGAGGTGGGCGGATCACTTGAGGTCAGGAGTTTGAGACTAACCTGGCCAACATGGTGAAACCCCATCTCTACTAAAAAAATCCCAAAATTTGCTGGGTGTGGTGGAGAGCGCCTGTAATCCCACCTACTCAGGAGACTGAGGCAGGAGAATCGTTTGAACCCAGGAGGCAGAGGTTGCAGTGAGTGAGATTGTGCCACTGCACTCCAGCCTGGGTGACAGAGCCAGACTCCGTCTCCAAAAAAAAAAGTTATGGCTATAAAAGAAAGTCTTAATTCTGATTAAATATTAACACTATGTCAACAAACTTACAAATTTGGAAGTCTATATTCCTCACAATTCTTTAATTTTATTGTGCCATTTGGTGACAAAATAAAGATTAAAATGAAATCAGTTTCTATTAACAATTACACAGAAATAAAAGGAACAGTGCTCCAAGTCAACATAGATCCAGGGATATTACTCATATACTACATTGCAGGCATTGCTTAAGCTCCAAGAAAGGCATCATACATACAACCCTTTCACCAGAAAACACTTACAAGCAGCCTCTTGTCTAAGTTGGCTTTTCTCAAAGACGAGGTAACAGAGTTGGCATCTTTTTCTGCCATCCATGCTTTGAAAAGCTTGACAGCAAATGAGGCCGCAATGCCTGTTCAAAAACAAAAGAGAATTTCATTCCTTTTATGAGCAAAACCAATTGTGATGGTGTGCAAAGCACCCAGGTTTCCTGAAGTGGGTAAATAACTAAAAGACTAAATTTGGTACAAAGGAAAAGTCAATAGACCTCTAGGCAAATTCTCCTCTTCTCGTTACTCAAAATAGAACATTTTCAGGAAAAGGAAAATAAATTAAAATATTTTTCAAATTTGGACTCTTTGAATCCAACCTGGTCTAACTGTAAGTTATTTTACCTTGGTCAAAAACATATTTAACACCCAGTATCTTCGGTGTTATTGCCTTTATTTCACCCTCTGGTTCATATGTATTTCATGTTTATAACAGTGATCTTGAGGCACAAGAAAATTAGGAGACACAAAACTGTAATGTCACCTTTATCAAGTAATTTGCTAATCAAGGATGCCAGTACAAGAACACTGATAGTGATAGATATAATAAGTACTGCTACGAATAGATGAACACACATCATTTACCTTAGTTTTAGTTTTTATAAAAAGCATTTTATTTATTTATTTATTCCTATTTTTATTTTTTGGGGGATGGAGTCTCACTCTGTTGCCCAGGCTGGAGCGCAGTGGCACGAGCTCAGCTCACTGCAATCTTCACCTCCTGGGGTCAAGTGATTCTCCTGCCTCAGCCTCCCAAGTAGCTGGGATTACAGGCATGCACCACCAAACTCAGCTAATTACTGTATTTTTAGTAGAGACAGGGTTTTGCCATGTTGGGCAGGCTAGTCCTGAACCCTTGTCCTCAGGTGATCCACCTGTGCTGGCCTCCCAAATTGCTGGGATTACAGGAATGAGGCATTGCGCCCAGCCATAAAAAGCATTTTAAAATATTCTTGAGTTAAGCTATAAAAATATCAAGGCTGTTTCAAGTTAAACTTTTCTGGATTTAAAAAAAATCGTTATTAAGCTAGTTATGTTAAATCAGGAAACCATTCAATCACATGTCCACATTTACATTACCACTTATTTCCAAATAGAAATAATCAGATAATAAGAAGACAGTTCTATGAACACTTCAAATTTCTAAATTTATGTTGTGGTTATTTATGAAGAGTTAAGATGTAGTTGAAACATTTAACTGAGTTTTCTAAACTGAAGGTTCTACTATTGTTATGAGCTAATGATAATGTGGCCTAAGCAGCCTCTATTCTCTTTACCTCTTTCCTAAAAGAGGTCCCATTTTATCCAGTCCAGGTGACTACTCATTAGCCTAAGTTCTGGTACCACCTCTTTCTGATGATTAATTTAGTGACATCGCTCAAGCTCATCTGCCCAAGGCACCCCCCTGGCAATTGCTACTGGACCTGTACTGGTCATGCAGTCTGTGGCAGCCAATCAGCTGAAGGAAAGATAAATTATCCTGTGTTCAGGAGAAGTGTTCTTTCACTGAACCGGAACCAGGAAGAATATGCCATAACTGTATCAGCAGACATATATAACAAGAGGGGGCAGCATCCTTGGGATGAAGTTAATGCTATGAATGATAACAGGAGAAAAATACTTAAGTTCTGAACGATATTGCTGTTCAGCCTGAAGTCTGTCCTAATTTTCCATTTATTGTTACATAAGAAATACATGTCCTTATCTACCAATTTGACCCAGGTCTTCCAGTAACTGGAGAGTCAAAGCATTTAATTCGTCTATCATTCATACAGACACCAACTAAACCTGATTTTCTTCCCTTGAATAAGCAGAGAAACTAATTTTTTTTAAAAAAATGGCCATGACAACAAACCATGCATTACATCTTAACTGAAAGTTCATGTTAAACAACTTGTTAAGATGAATTTTTAGCATTATCATTAGCTCATACAACCAATATAAAATTTAATATAAATTAATACTAGGCTGTAATCTGTATTGTAAGTAAAGAAAAACTATGCTTGAAACTAGGAGCCTAAAATTGAGATTTAACTTTCTTTATAGTTAGTCCTCTACTGAGTAGGATAATCCCATCTCCCTTGGTCATGTATTGGATGAGTTGGGGAAAATGATTAATTTCTTAACTGTTTTCGTTATTTCTTTTTTTTTTTTAATCTTAGATAGTCTTTCTCTGTTGCCCAGGCTGTAGTAAGATGATGTGATCATAGCTCACCGTAGCCTCAAACTCCTGGGCTCAAGTAATCCTCTTGCCTTAGTCTACTGAGCAGCTAGGATTGCACGGTGTGCCAACACACCTGGCTAGTTTTTAATTTTTTTTTTTTGTAGAGAAGAAGAGTCTTGCTATGTTTCCCAAACTGGTCTCAAACTCCTGGCCTCAAGTAATTTTCTTACCTCAGCTTCCCAAAGTGTTAGGATTTCAGGCATGAGTTACCATACCCAGCCATTTTCTCAATGCTTTTCCAATTAGGAAGCAAGAGTTTACACCTCTAGTTTGTAAAAGATGGCAGAGTTTAAGGAAAAGCCATATAACAGAGGCACTATACTACTTCCATAGCAAAGTTATTTTTCTCCTCACCATCCCCCAAACATTTTACTATAATAATTTCCAGACATACAGAAAAGCTGAACAAACTGAACAATGACCACTCACATGCCCACCATCTAGTTTCTATAACTAATATTTTGCTGTATTTGCTTTATCACGTATCTATCCATCTAATAATGTAATATTTGGATATATTACAAAGGAAGTTACAGACATCATTTAGATTTTTAAAATAACTAGAAAGGCAATAATTTTCTGTTATGTTGGCTAGGATAATTTAAAATAATTAATGGTTAACATTTATATACTATGTTGATTTTCTGTGTGCAAAATGGCTAACAGCAAAAATAAGATGTGTGTTGTACTGTGAATTTTCTTCAGGGAAATACTTTAAAATGTCATAATACTAATAACATCCAACAATTACAGAGTCTGAATTGTCATAAATCTGAGTGATTTTAAGCTAAAAACTAGAGTCTTTGAATAAGACCGATTGACTCTCAATTTACTATTCTTTTCTTAGCTACAAGAAAACTATAACCCCTTTCACTATAGGCATGAATGAGGCTAGGACTTCATATACGTAGGAGGAAAACTTTTTAAGTTCTCAGAAGAAACAGATGTTCGCACAAAAGCTCTTTTAATTTGTTTTTAAGGAAAAATAACTGTTTTGTGTTGCATTGTAATTTGACTATCATTATCCTCCTACAAGTAAACAGCCCACTTTTGTTTTATTCTATAACCAAATCATGGTATGCATGCCTATCCAACTCTTAATGCCTTAAAATTAAAACAAGACTCCTTCTATTGCAGCAGACTTAAAACTGTTTTCTAAAATTGAGACAATGAATATCTTAAAAAGTGCAATCAAAATGAGTATCTGAGCATCAGTTTCTCTAGACCTTGAGAGGGGAACAGTTTTTGTTCTTACAATAGGGGTGAGAGTTAAAGGCTGCCATTTTGTATTGAAGGGCAAAAAGGTCACCAAATCAATTTCAGGGTATTTGACCTAGGCATCAAGTCTTCCATGAGATTTTAATTGGCTATTAGTCTTTCTTAATATGTCTTTATACAGGTGTGCATATTTTTTTCCTTCAAATGTCCTACAATTAACATGTCCACTCCTTTTATTATTTGAAAGGCAATATACACACATACACAGATATTCTCTTATGTGAAGAATGAGTAGTAGAGGACACCAAAAGGAGCAACTGGCATTTTTATAACTATCTGTGGCTTTTTTTTCCCTTTGTTGTCTGACAGGCGAGAAAACAGGAGCCTCATTACCTTCTTTGACTAAGCTGTCGGTGAAGAGACTGGTGAGGATGGTGGCGGGCAGGGTGCCGTTGCCCAGCAGAATCCCTGACAGCATCGCCAACTTTGTCTGCTCTGTTTCGGAAAAGGCTTTAAGGAAGAGGAGAAGCTGTGGGTCAAAAAAAAAAAAAAGAAAAAGAAAAGAAAAAAAAAAGGAACCATGTCTATGAAGCAAAGGACTGAAGTGGGAAGATAAACAGTGTGAACATCCATGGCTACGTGGCACACACACAGAAGGTCATATGTAAAGCATAGTAATTCATTTCATGATAAATTGGATGCCGTGGAAAGTGACTTGAGCAGGCAGGTTCCTTTCTTCTCAGTTCATTTACTCACAGCTGTAGATAACATTCACGGAAAGGAAAAGAGATATTTGGATGATATGTAAACAGATGGATTTATGTTTGACTATGTGCATGCAAAAGGGTTAAGTATACACGATGGACATGTTTTCTGAAATGTATTGTTTTTCAAGTTTTTCCACCTCTTTGGGTGACTACCTCTTCCCCTGCTACATATGCCCATTTTCTCTGAACAGAATTTTTACGGCAAAAACAGAAACAAATAAAAAGCCCCACAAAAACAAAAAACCAGGAAAGAGTCGAAGTTAAGCTTTTGACATTTAATATATACTTTTCTGAGCTCACAGAATACAACAGTCTTCAAAACAAGACTGTTCAGGGAGAAAGGGGTTTTCTAGGTTCTTGATGTTTTTTGGGTACACTTTTAGATTCTCTTGTCCCCGAGACAGGGAACTGAAAAAGTAGCAACCCTAGAAAAATATGAATGTAAGCTCAAAGCAAACAAAACAAAAAACCCACTTCCCATATTATATTTTCCTATAGTAGTCAGCCCTGTGGGATGTCCTTCTCTCTCCTAACTCTCCTCTGCTTTGTGCTTTGACTACATTCTACTGTTACTTTCTCCATTTCACCAGTTATTAGGCTTGCCATGGAAATTCCTCAGGGGCCACTATCACTACAGGAGCCTTGCTGATTTTCCATTATTTTGTGCCAATGCAAAATTCACTGGCATTGATAGAGACTTAAGTGTCTCCATCCTGATGACGTGATTATTCCACTAGCTGCATAGGGGGTAAGAAAATATTAACTTACTATTCCCCAATAATTGAAGGATTATTACATTATAGACTATTTACATTATGTGAAAGTGGCAGAACTGGAACCAAACCAGTCCATTCGCCTCTCAATGTATACCTATTAAATTCTCAACAAATTAAAAAGAAGTTAACATCTAAGTAAGTGCCAGGGAGTGAGGGAATGAGGGTTTCAAAGGCTTAAGCTCCAAGGAGCATCAAGAATGGGGAAGAATGAAAGAACTAACATAAGTATAGACAGTTCATGTCAATTTGTCCTTTTTCTCCATTATAAAAATAACATTTAAATGAGAATAATAAAAAATAGCCTCTAAAATAAAATTTTAACACCACTTCTTCAAGTTCACGCATATGACCAGATTCATTTAAAATATTCTTAATCACATAGAAATGGCACAAAAATTAGGTCATCATAAAAATAATAACCACATTGCTCACTTATATTAATCAACATTAAAACATAATTACATGTATACACACATACTGTTTTTCACTGCATTACATGCTAATGATAGCTAAAACTTGTGGAGTGGGCCAGACAACTCTTCTGATCACTTTATGTGTATTAATAAGTACAACAGGCTCCATCTCCAATTACAGAAAAGAATACTAAGGTACAAAGATATTAAGTAATTTGCCTGCCCCAGGTCAAACTGCTACCAAATGGTTGCTTTGCACCTCGCATTTCCATTTAATTTGTCATGGGCATTTTCCCTTATTAATACATGTAGTTATGCCTACATGTGTAAAAGACTGCATAGTATTCCACTGTATAGATTGTAAATTAATTAACCAGTCTCCATCTCCTACCAATGAACATTTAGGCTATTTTTCAATACTGTGGTGACATCTTTATACATATAGCTTTATATATCCATGCTAATGGATTCTTATAAATCCATGAAGGCCGGGGCATGGGTTATATAAGAAACATTTCTTTTAATGACTATTGTCAACTTGCTCTTCAATATTACACATGGAACTACTTTAAACTGGGTGGGGTGGGGGGCAGTTAGTGTGGGGAGGAGTGGGGAGAGTAAGTAAGTAGGGAAGAAGTAAGTATATGTTATGGTTACTTTTTTCACTTGGTGTTTTACTTTTAGATAGATATCTAAAACTGGAAGCAATGACAAAGTAACGAACAAATCTGAAACAGGTAAAGGTAGTGGGTGCTATATATAAATACAGGAGTTACAAACTGGAAGAGGGAACGTGCAATTACTCTAAAGAGGACATCTTTAAGGAGATGCTACTGTTGATTTGACTAGAGACCAATTACTACACTGAGCTCCTTATATGTTATTTCATATATTCCCACAGCAACCATAAGGTATATCCTCTTACTACAGCTATTTCACTGATGAGAAAGACTACTGAGATTTACACCCATACACTCTATCTCCAAAGAGGTGCTTCCATTCCCTTTGCTATACTGCATAGAATTAAAGAATTTTGCTGAACATTAGCTGCTGTGCTATGTTCTTTCATAGGCTTTAACTACTTAAACCACTTTATCTTGATTCTAGTTTTCATTTTAACCTCTGCATGGTCAGAGATTATACCCCATAAAACTATTCTTACTGAACAAAGCACACTGTCTTACATTAAATATTAAAGGAAAAAGTCCAGAATAATCACATATTTCTTCCTATAGCTATTAGCTAATGATCTTTCATACTCATTTATTTACCAAACATTTATTAAAAACTCACTACATGTTACCACGTATATGGCACTTTTGGAATATTATTGTGCATGTAAAATTTTATTTCATTTTATTATTATTTTTTCTGAGATGGAGTCTTGCTCTGTCGCCCAGGCTGGAGTGCAGTGGAGCAATCTTGGCTCACTGAAGCCTCTGCCGCCTGGGTTCAAGCGGTTCTCCTGCCTCAGCCTCCCGATTAGCTGGGATTATAGGCCACCATGCCTGGGTAATTTTTGTGTTTTTAGTAGAGACGGGATTTCAGCATCTTGGTCAGGCTGGTCTTGACCTCCTGACCTTGTGATCCACCCATCTCGGCCTCCTAAAATGTTGGGATTACAGATGTGAGCCACCACACCCGGCCACTTATAAAATTTTTATACACCTCCATTTCATTACTATAAAACAGATAGGCATTATATTTGAATTTTTACCTTTTTCATTTCATCTTCAAATGCCTTCTCCAAATACTTATATCTCCTGATGAGTTTATTGAAGACCTAAACATAAAACAGAACCATTAAATATTAGGTCAACCAAAAAGACACAGAAGGAGGGTATAGAAACTCACCGTAACAACACCATAGATCTACAATAAAAAAAGTGTATAGTTAAACAGGCTCACATTGCAATATAAAAACTGTAAGCATTTCAAAGATGCTACCATGACCTAGGGGAACAAATACGATCAAAATGTACATGTAAGATAAAACAAATTCATTCATTATAAAGATATAACCACTCAGATAATGATGTGATGGGGAGGAGAGCAAAGTGCAGGACAGATTCTACTCTAGGTAAACAACAAACATGTTTCTAGCAGATGAGCAAAAAATGTTATAATTTACTGGCAATAAAGGATGACTGGCCCCTATGGTTGTGTTAGAACTGTGAAGCAGAGTTTGCCACTGTATTAGGATCTAGACAGTCTTAAGTGGAATGATGTTTTTAAAGGGGGATTTTGTAAATATTGGTTATTTTAATAACTGTGGAAATGATTTCTTAATCTAGTTCCTTTTTCTCCTACACACAGGCTATACTCCTACTTACAACTCTTGGTGTATTCGTTTCCTAATGTAATCAAGATGGAGTCCAAGAGTAAAAATAATAATTGCCCTTTATGGGGAAAGAATGACCCAGGCAGGGAATTAACACACGATAAGCAAAAGAAATAAATTACATTAAAATCCCATAAATTTTATTTCCAATTTACACTAATACTCACATATTCTTTAACATGTATACAAGAAAAACGAATTTTCCTGATCTAAGAATAAATTCCCATGAGAGGTTAACAAAAAAAAAAAAAAAAAAAGAAAAGAAAAAGCATTATATTATTGTAGTTCTTTTTGTTTTGTTTTGAGATGGAGTCTCACTCTGTCATCCAGGTTGAGCAGTGGCAAGATCTCGGCTCACTGTAACCTCTGTCTTCTGGGTTCAAGTGATTCTCCTGCCTCAGCCTCCCAAGTAGCTGGGATTACAGGCACCCACCACCACACCCAGCTAATTTTTGTATTTTTTAGTAGAGATGGGTTTTCACCATGTTGGCCAGGCTTGTCACAAACTCCTGACCTCAAGTGATCCACCCACCATGGCCAAAGTGCTGGGATTATAGGCTCAAGCCACTCTCCTAGGCCTATTTTTGTAGTTTTAATGCCCATTATTTTCATCTGTTTAAAGGCTTTTTCTAAAATTCCTATTTAAAAAGTGGGTGGGCTGTAGAGCTTCTATAGAGTTTTCCTCAATCCTCTTCAAATGCTTCCCTACTGACTCAAGGGCAATCTCTCAAATAGGCTCTACCTGAGCATAGTTTCGGATGGTTTCATGATCTTCATTTGCTGAAAACACACAGTGGTTGGTCATCTTGGTCTTGTCACCATCATCTATGCGTGTTCCTCCAGGGGCTGAAAAGAGAAAGGTAATTATAGTTAGGATAATACTGAAATTGAGAACAGCATTTGCAGAACAGATCCATTCTGGCAAATGAAAGAAAATAATGAAAGTAGATGTAAAATCTAAGAGTCACATAAAATGTCAAAGAATGACACACATAGATGTACACATGTTGCTGTATATTTTTTCCTTTTCTTTGAGA